TTTTTTAGAACATCAGATTTTTTCCATTTGAATTTGTCAGGTGGGACAAAACTGCTTTCAAAAACAAAACCCATTTCTTTAAAGTAATAAGTTGGAATAAACCCAATGGGTAGGCTGAATAGGATTAATTGCAAGTACTCACAATGGCTTTCTGGTCTCTAACGACCTTTGTTAAGAGCACCATAATATAAATAAAAATAATGGTTGATGGCTACATAAAAAATTACCAGAAACTGAAATAACTTTAAAAAAATGTTTGTGGCCGTGTCGAAATATAGCTGCTAATTTTAAACTGAAACAAATCAGAGAACAAAATCATGCGTCTGATAACTCTAAAAATCAAGTGAATAAATTAAAGAACAGAATTAAATTAAAAGTGATTCGGTCTGTAACTACATGAGACTCTCCTCATATTATTTTATCCAATGATTCATTGAATTATTTAACCCCATCAATGAAAGGTCAAAGGTCAAAATCCTTTAGCTGAAACTGTAGTTTAGTATCATTTTTAAAAAAACAAAATTTGTTAAAATAAACAAAAATTTGAACAAATTTCCATTCAAACAAACTCCCATTGACCCCATTTCTGTTCCACCAAAAATAATTACAAGAATTTTTAATGAAATCTAAGAAAAGTGTGGGACTCATTGTTTTGGTTATAAAACGTCATAATTTCAATTTGTGGATAAGTAATTCTCAATTATATAAAAGAAATTTAAAAATTATTGCATTATGGAGACTGCTTTTTAACGTATTCAAATATTTAGTGGCTTCATTAATTGAACAAATATAAGGTCTTATTGTCAATACAATTGTAAGGATTTTATCATTACGTTCGTAACTATCAAATGTTTTTCATTTAAGGTTTTGTTATACATAAATTGGTTCCAACATCACAACCACATGTAAATGTAAAGTTCAATAAAATAAATGGATGGATTCTGTTCAATAGATGTTGTGTACAATCTAATCAGATCAAAGGCAAGTGATTGTTATCAACATCACATTTTGTAAGTTTTAGCATCAATGAAAACATCATTACTTCCAGTGAAATCTCAGATCTTATATTATGACAGGTTAGCGTTTGACGGAGTAAATTAAACACAATTTAACAAGGGTAAATAGATCGACGATAGAGTAGAAAAAAATTATTTCATATAACGTCAAGGTTTACATGATAGCTTTCAAAATAAAAAGGTTAGGGTAGTAAATATCCACACAAAAATTGTACAAATAGCAGAGGAGATTTATACGTTTTGCTTCAGTTCAATAATAAAAATCTACTTCATGAAATATATATTTATCAAAAATGACTTTTAGCTTCATTGTCATTATGATAAAACAACCATTGTTTAAATTAGATACAGTTTGAGAAGGCATGGGTTAATAATCATTTTTTAAAACAAAGTAATTGTTATATGATAACAATCAAAATTATTATGCAAGTAGAGTTACCAATGGGACATCTAGCATTGGGATTATAGCAGACTCATTGGCAACTCACTCTTTAAATGAAAGATGTGAAAACTACATGCATATATATATATAGATAGATTATAATAATATTACCATGAAATCTGAACTAGAACTACACAACCAGTAGAATTATATTTAGCTGGTCATTTTTTTTTATACATTATATATTTTTAAAAATCATTAATTCTTTCAAACAGCAATAATCCCATTACAAAAACCACTTTGTGACTTAAAGAAGAAATAAACTAAAAAAGTCCGTGCACACACATTTTTAAATTGAAAAGTCCCATAATTTTAGTAGTAGCAGTAACAAATTTCATAATTCACCCTGATCTACTTCTAAAATATTTCCACATCTAATCTCTATGTTAATATGCTTAAACATTTTAGCTCATAGTCGCCAGGACACTAAAAATTCTATTTTTATATTCTCCATTTAATAACTAGATCTTATGTTACAAGATTGCGTGGAGATTTCTAGTCTCATCTTCTAAGCCTGTGCTAATGAGTGAGATGAAAGTTTAAGAGTTACTGCATGTTGTTGCATGCTATAACTAAATGATGAGAATAAATGCTGAAGTTTTCAGTCAGCAGAGATCTGACTAGTGGCATGCCAGCACGTTAAATGTTATGTTGTAGACACATCAATATCAATTTCTATATAATAGTAGGTGGTGCATTATTTCATGAGATGGTTCAGATAATTACATATTAAACATTAGTTAGGGAAAATTAAAAATGGGACAATCTATCTAAGTTTAGCTATTAACTTCATAAATATATATGTAGCAAATACTTCAAAGTACCAGAGTTCTCAATCCGACAAATGAAAAGGGGTCACACAAAATTTGTGACAAAAGTTAGGTGGGATCTAAGAGATTGAGTGGGATCTAAATTTTGTGTGGAATCTACAGTACTAGGCACAGAAACATTACAAATGCCTCTACATACATAGGAGCCAGAATGTTCAATACACTGATCGTGGGCCCTTAATATATAGATGAAGATAAAGAAGAAAATGTTGGGTGGGATCTAGGTGATGGGTGGGGGTCAAAAAGTTGGATGGCTTCTAAAATAAAACCAGGATTCATCAATTTAGGCTCATGCTGGTATATTGTATAATAATAAACACTGAGGTATCTGGTACTATTATCTTACTTGGTGGGACAGATAACGTATGTCTAATGTAAAGCTTATAACTTACGGTTTTATATAAAGTTACACGTGTGAGCATGCTTCATGGAATTAAAATATCTAAGAAAAACTTTAAACATTTTAATACAAAACAACAGAATTTTAGGTAAAGATAATTTTTTTTTTTTTAAAAACGTGTTTAAAATAAATGCAGACCAAAAAGCATTTTTTATTCTTGAACGTCTCAACTTTAAAAAAATTAGACCCATCTCACCCTGCGTACCCTTAGACCCATCTCACCCTGCGTACCTTTAGACCCATCTCACCCTGCGTACCACTTTTCTGAAGCTAAATTTGAAAGCGAAATATTCATTACTTGATTCTCTTAGTTGCAGTAGACCCAACACATTACTAATTCAAATTTAATGTATTGTCAAAATGAAACATTACTTCCATCAGTTACTGAAGTTTAAGGATAGCAATGCTTTTTATGACTTGAAAAGTTTGAAACAAATGTAAAAAAAAAAAACAACTTATGACAAGATATGTTCAATAAACAAAAAACATTTTCAAAATACAACTATCATGATATGGTAAATACAACTATCATGGTATGGTAAATACAACTATCATAATATGGTAAATACAACTACCATGGTATGGTAAATACAACTACCATGGTATGGTAAATACAACTACCATGGTATGGTAAATACAACTATCATGGTATGGTAAATACAACTACCATGGTATGGTAAATACAAACAACTATTATGATATGTAAGTGTTTGATAAGGTTAAGTTGAAATTTATATAAAAATAAATGAAATGAAAAATAAATATCAGTATTTAAAATTTATTTAGAATATTTTTCTAAAAATGCGTTATCGATCATTTAGTCATATATAAAACATTCTTAAACTACACATCATCTTTAAATTTCTGCAATAGTTTTGGAGGTTTTTTTATGTTTTCATTGGATTCAAATAAAGGTAACATTGTTGGTAACGTTGCTATATTTGCTTCCGAAAGTAAATCTTTTTTACTGTTTATTCCTTGAGCAAATGTTTGTCTGTGGAATTTTTGGACGTTCTAAGCACCAAGTAACACATAATAACATACACCATTTTTGGAAACAAAGGTTCCGCCATCTTGTAAACAAATGGCATGATTAAAACAAGTCTGTTCCACATAAAACTGAGAATTCGCTCAAACACAAGGCCAGATTTTTTTTTCAAAATGGCAATGAATAGTCTAGAATCTATACATTATGCTTGTAAAATTTATTAACTAAACTTTCTATGTAAGTATGATCCAATCAAAGAATTTTACCCCACAAGGAATAAAAAAATCAATATCTTAGTGAGTATTCAAATATCACAATACACAAAAAAATCATGATAAAATAATTTCAAAATATCAGATGTTAATCAATCACCAAATTATTTTTTTTAAGTATTCGAAATAAACAATACCTGTATCTTATAGAATATTTAAAAAGATGTATGTATACCCACATCAGTTTTTTTTTTCCCATTAAGCCACAACTGTTTGGACGGAGAGGCATAAAAAGAAAAATTATATAATATCTAAAAAATCTCATGTTTATAAAGTCTGAGTTGTCATGAACCCAGTTAGTGATTTGTTACTTTCGGCGACTTCATTAAATGACCATTCATGAATAAATCAAAGTGGTGAGTAATCGTTGGAATAAAAAAAAGAGTGCAAGGAGATAGCATCACATTAGAAATAAGTAATGTGTTAAAAATTTGTGAAACACAAAAACACAAATAATATGATCTAGACAGTGTTAAAGTAAGCTCTACTCCTTTATATTAACTAATGTTCCTTGTCACTTGCAATGTAAAAATTTGTGAAAATCCTGTAAATAAGTATTATATGTACAGCATTTCAATGTGTCTGATTGTCAAAATATTTGTTTCATGTCATTTGATTGTTAAAACATTAGCCAGGTTTAAAAGTTAAGGTACTTTTTTCTTCATAAGGTAAAGAAATATTTGTTCTAATTATTAAAATGCTGAATTATCATTGTAAAAGTAGAGCAGTGATCAACACTCAATTTCCAAAATGAAATCTGAAAAGAAAATGTATAATTTCAAATAAAGGAGTTTGGTTTTAAATTTTCTTTAAAAGACTTCCGACAGTTCATGTGCCATCAGGTTATAATAAGGAAAATTTAAACACAGAAAAATTGAGTAGCTGATAACATTTTTGATGGCAGTTTAATTACCGGTATATTAGTTTATGTTTTTTTTTTTTTTTTAAATATTAATGTTTAAAATATTTCAATAAAATTTTTCTTTTTTATTTATTACATTCTGGCAAGATACACAAAGTTCAATTTGAATTAACAAGTACTCCACAGATTAATTTTTTATTGCAGTTTAATTACCGGTATATTAGTTTATGTTTTTTTTTTTTTTTAAATATTAATGTTTAAAATATTTCAATAAAATCTGTCTATTTGATTTATGACATTCTGGCAAGATACACAAAGTTCAATCTGAATTAACAAGTACTCCACAGATTAAGATCTCTTCTTCATACAGAGGAGCAAAGGCCAACATACTGGAGATAAAATATCAACAACTTTAGCAATGTAAGAAAAAGTTTTGAAAGAACAAGTCCACCATCACAATGTTAGGATTAATTAAGTACTCGCCTTTTTTTGATTAAAGTGACAACATTTTTAAAAAAAATTAAAAAATTAACATTGCAATAAATCATTTGAGATTCACAATGTGATTTAAGGAAAAGTTCTTAAATAAAAGGCTTTTTAAAAATTTCAACTCAATCTAATCTGGATAAATTGGAGGGAAATACTTCATGTCAAAACCAATACATTTGACAGTTATCATTTCTGGACAGAAGGTTTACCACAGATACCAAAGATAGGAATCAGATACACATAAATGCTACTTGCACCGTGGTCTCAGAAGGTTTTCCTCAGATTCCAAAAATAGGAATCAGACACACATAAATGCTATTTGCGCAGTGGTCTCCCACAGAGTTTTGTTTATTCACTATTAGGATATGAATGAATAAAGTTATTGTGTGACAAAAGAATCTGTTGGTGAAATGTCTGTTACTGTTTGCTGTTAATACAATTGTTTCACCTGCTTGGTAAAATCATGATGTGAAGAACCGACTGTTCAAAGACTCAAGTTTACAAGTGCATATAAATATTATGATTCTGGGACTTAAATTTCAAAAGTATTAAAACATTTTCTACGCTGGATATTGTTATTTAAGTTGAGTGCCATTTAACACCACCGCAAGGGACAAAACTCTTGATTACTTGAGTGCATATAAATATTATGATTCTGGGACTTGAATTTCAAAAGTATTAAAACATTTTCTACTCTGGATATTGTTATCTAAGTTGAGTGCCATTTAACACCAAGGCAAGGGACAAAACTCTCGATTAAGTGTGCATTCCCATACATTCATTTTTTAATATGACCTCACTTAGATTGTAGAACAAGTAACAAGGGGATTTCTTGTGGTGACTGTAATCAAATATTCACTATATACCCAAATATACCCAAATCATTTTGATTTTAACTCAGTAGGTGACTCACGGTTTCTATGACCAAAAAAAAAACCATCCTTTAATTTCTAATGACTATTGAAATTTCATAAAAGCATACATGGCACTAGACTACCATCACTGTTCAAATATTATCGACGTTCATCTCTTCATCTGAACTGACTGACGTAATGCTGTAGTGAGAGCTGCGTGAGGTGGACCTCCTGTCCTTGTCCTTGACGGTGCTGGCCGCTTTGGAAGTTGATCCCCAGGCACTGGAACCGTACGTGTTGGTGGACATCCCATCTGTGCTGACCCTTGCAGGGGGTCGCCTGGTCAGACAATTAAGGTCAAGGACATTCTTATGATTATTAGTTTTCTGGTTTTATGCTAGACAAGGGAACATGAGTCAAATAAGGCAGCTAGACAAAGATACAAGAGTCAAATAAGGAAGCTAGACAAGGATACAAGAGTCAAATAAGGCAGCTAGACAAGGATACAAGAGTCAAATAAGGCAGCTAGGCAAGGATACAAGAGTCAAATAAGGCAGCTAGACAAGGATACAAGAGTCAAATAACGCAGCTAGACAAGGATACAAGAGTCAAATAAGGCAGCTAGACAAGGATACAAGAGTCAAATAAGGCAGCTAGACTTGGGGAGGAGGAAAACCTTCATTTAAAAAAAAAAACTCCACTAGGAAAAAAGCTAAATTTGTTTGTGATTAAAATCTGGCACACTATACAAAAATAGCTGCAAGCTTGCCAGTTAAGTTACAGCTACTGGAATAAGTACGCAACATTAAAAAAACCACACAAAAAACGATAGACAACGATGTAACTAAGGTGTCTTACCTTTGTGCTGCAGGTAGTGGGTCCTCAGGTGCGGTGCTGTCCCAATCACTCTCTTCATCAAAGTCATCCTTCATGGGGAAAAACAAACATTTGGTTTTTATATGAACTTAGAAGTTTATCATACTATTCCACCCTGCTAATAATCTGTGTATTAAATAATAATGAATAAATTCTATAAATGTCTATATTACTGGCAATGTGTGAAATACAGGGATTCTATAGAATGCCTGGCGGTTTTAGGCAAAGTATGAAATATTTTATTTTCGTGATTAAGTTACATACTTTGCTTAGGCATTTTATACCATGCCTAGGTATTATATATAATGACAAATATAATTCAGGCAAAGTTTCAAAAGAGCGTAAAGAAAATGTTTCTATTGGAAAAACATATTTGAAAACGAAAGATAACAATGAAACCGGCAAGCAAAGGTGGCATCGAGCTACTTGTTGCAGCAAGTAAGGCTGGAGTGGCATTTTGAACTGCACTTAATTATCTTTTTCACACAAAGACACTTCATGTTTTGCACCTGGTCTTGCACATACCCCTTACAAATCCTTAACCGCTTCCTGTTGACAGAGAGATAGCAGCAGATCGGAGAGGTATTTCATGGTCAGGGACGTGCTCAACTCTCAATAAATCTTTTGGACATACAGCGAACTGTCATCTTGAATACAATTGTTTCAAGATTCCTTGTGCATTTACAAGTCGGTAAAAGCTGTCTTCTATCTCTGTCATAAGAACTGGCAACAGATTGCGCGAGTCGCCTCGTCCTTTGTCAACGTCAGGAATAGGAACTCGCACAGTGGCTCCTAAAGGTGAAGGAGGGAATTTTTTGTCAGAGTTTATTTTCAATTTTTTTGCCTGGATTTAAAGGTTCGATTTAGATTCTTTTCTAGCCTCTACAGCTCTCTTCATCTTGAAACACAAGCTGCACAAAATACCAACACCGTAACCTTTTATTTCCTCGTCTCCATCGTCTTTAGCAGCATGCCCACAGATAACATGAACATTACGATGACAGTTTCGGCAAGTATGGGCACCGCTGCTTTCTTTTAAGCAGACACAACAAACACCATAAGTGGAAGGCTCTTCGGTAACCATGACGTCACATCGGTTTGGTTTCCTCCATTATTTGTTGCATTCTCTTCAGTATTCTGTGTAGTTGGCTCTGTACCTTGCATCTGACGATTTGCTTCTTCCTGCTGTGTTGTTTTTACGCTTTCTATTATTTTTTCGAGTTCTTCCTCAGTCTGTATGTCTTGCAAAACGTCAAGGGGTATGGAAGATGTTGCGAGGCCCACTTTAGCTTTACAGCCAAACAGAGCTTCGTAAGGCTTTCTATTAATCCCAGAATGAAAGGCCCTGTTCTTCATAAGTTGGATGAATCGTAATCCCTCAGCCCAGTGGTCAGTTTTTTCATCTTGCATCCAAGCACATAGCATGTTTTCGATGTCTTGATTAGCTCTTTCGACACTGCCCTGGCTTTGTGAGTGGCGCCGTTTACCATGGACGATCTTCAACTTGGGCCAGTACTCCTTTAGGCTGTTCACCACATAGTTGGTAAATTCCTAGCCATTAATGGACTGTAGAATTGATGAAGCTCAAAGCAAAGTAAATATTTCCACGAATGTGTAGGCGACCTCTTTCGCCCTCTTTGATGTTAGAGCCCTCAGAAACACAAACTTTGTGAGATGATCTTGGTACACTATTAAAAATGTATATTCCCTGTCAGGATGGGACTGAAAATCGACAAGATCGACCTGACCACAGGAGTTGAATTCAGAAAAAATCATAGGCTTCACCACAACACCATTTTTGACACCTTTTTGTTCTTATACTTGTGTGAAAGTTCTTGTCCCACGGCCAAATGAGCCTCATCAAATAATTCAGAATCCGTGACATAGAACTGAATAGCACTGTCTCCTTCTTTAACAGGATAGATCAACTTATTTTTGTTCTCTACCGCCATTACACAATACCGTTTCAGCAGTCAATAGTCTCGTGGTTTCTTTTTACATCAACCACCAATTTTTGGTAACTAGTTTCCATTAGAGAAATGCAGTTTTTAGCACTATTGGCTCGCAATTGAGAATGTTCATCGTAGAACCGCCGTTGCATGTAAACATACCGTGATTCCTGATCTGAAGCTACAATCTGATCTTCCAACAACTCAACAGCCGTCTTCAAACAATAGGCGCAAGCGTCTTTGGCGGGAGCATGAAGCACGTGTGTCGCGATCGCAACGCCACCACTAAGCAACGAATCAAGCATTTATGACGGGGTATTCTATACATTGCCGGGTTGCTCTTCGGCATTGTATATAATGCCTAGGAAATGTGTGAAATATAAACCATTTCATACTTTGCCTACAATTTTCAGGCACTCTATATAATTCCTAGGCATTCTATATAATGCCGGATTTCAGACATTGCCGGTAACATCTATATTAATTACTGCACCTACCCCAACGTTGGGTTTCTTCCCACCTCCTGAGCCCATTGTATCAACACCCCCAAAAGGCTTAGAATTTGGGGAACGAGCCTGGAAGAAAAAGTTCAATTTTAGCAGATGAGAGTTAGGGCATTGTGAGCAGTCCATTTAATCAAAGGTTCTCTAACAGTAGCAAAGTATTACATAATTAAAGTATCCACATAATTAAAGTACCCACATAATTAAAGTATCCACATAATTAAATTACCCACATAATTAAAGTACCCACATGTACAAATCAAATTTTACTTGTGTCCAGCAAAAGCACAAAACTGTCATAAAGTCTAAAAAAATAATTTCTCCCAACAAACTCACTCCAAGTTGACTCTCTATGTTCTTTCTCAAGCTGGAGACACCTCCAGTCCCCCTCTCCTGTGCTGCTGAGTTTCTGTCTTGTCTGGTAGAAATTAAACCAGAATCAATCAATGACAATTTATAATTTGTAAAAAGTATCCCCTCTCCTTCAACCCCTGCCCTTGTGAATGTATTCCAGGTCAACCACAAGAGTTTATTTATTTATTTATTTATTTAGGCATTTTTATATAGCGCTTATCATAAAGCTCTAAGCGCTTTACAATTATTAAAACATGTAAACTAAGTAAATACAAATGAGACACTAGGATAGTAACTACTATTCTATAGAAACAATGAAAATGGCTATAAAAAGAGGACACTTTGACACTTCAGGATTAAACCGAAACAGAAAATTAGGTAGGGCAAGGAGGGTGCATCACAGGTCATAGGCGGACCTAAACAGATGAGTTTTAAGGGACTTTTTGAAAATGGACGAGGTTTCACTATGACGTATATGGAAGGGAAGCTGGTTCCAGAACGTGGGCCCATGGAAGCAGAAGGAGCGTTCACCGATGGTCTTAGTTTTAGTTCTTGGGATTGAGAGGGTTCTACTGTCAATGGAAGAACGTAGTTGTCTTGTGGGGATGTAAGGAAGCAACAGTTCAGAGAGATAGACAGGAAAGTGAGGGTCAGTGAACGAGTTGAAGCAAAGATTGGAAGTTTCATCCCTAATGACGCACTCTAAGTTATCTCCTTCATCTCACCTGTCAGATTCTAAGATATCATCGATTTCATCATCTGCATTATTATTCATGGGTCTTGACTGTATGAGACGGGCTTTTGGTCCTTGGGTTCGTGGACTGGGACTCGGGACCTGAGCTGGGCCAGACTGAATCAACCTGACCCCGGGAGCGGCAATAAATGCTTTCCCTCCGACTGACGGTGGGTTGTCCTCTGCTGACTCATCGTCACTATCAAACTGCGTACTTGTCCACTCTGTTGTTGACCTGCCACACAAAGTCTCAGATTTTAGTCTCAAAAACAAACAAGGTCAAACTATGAAAGGCTGAGAGTTGATATCTGTGTGCAAAGTGCAGCTTGATTCTATTTGAACACACATCCATTTATTAGATCAATGATGATGTGTCCATATCTTTTATTAGAACAATCTTATGTGTATATATATTTTTTTTAGATCAATCTTATGTGTACATATCTATGTATTAGATCAATCTTATGCATACATATCTATTTATTCGTACAATCTTATGTCTCCATAAGAGCTGTATCACTCTGGGCAAGGAGCATGAATTACAATTATAGACTCTTTAGATTAGGGTTTCCCAGCCAATGTGCACCCTCTATCACTCTTTGATAAAGTTTCACACCCCTAAAAACTGTTTGACTAAGTCTGCCACCCCCCCAAATTGTTTGACTAAGTCTGGCACCCCCCCCCAAATTGTTTGACTAAGTCTCGCACACTTTCAAAAGTTACAAAACATTCTTAAATTGTTTTTAAAAATGGACTTCTAACTTGTTTATTACATTATGAAGATAAGCGAAGAGCTTAGAAAATAAAATTGTGAATTATTACATAAATAAAATAATGAATTTACAAAATATCTAATAATTTATCTCAAACTTAAAAGTAAATGGCTCCTCTTTCATTAAATCACTTTTTCTCTGCCTGAAATACCACCTTGCAACCCTATTCCCCATGAGTGTGCAAACACCCCAGGTTGGGAAAACCAGCTATAGATGAAGGTGAATGTAGACCTGTATCTAACTTATCATTTTTATCTAAAGTTATTGAAAAACTAGTTCTAAAACAACTTTTTGCTCATTTAATTGACCACTCTCTTCTCAGTTCTAATCAGTCGGCCTATAGACATTTCCACAGCACAGAGACGGCTCTCTTGAGAGTGACCAATGACCTCTTGCTCGCATTGGACAGGGGTGATATCTCCATCCTGATCCTCTTAGACCTCAGTGCGGCCTTGACACTGTTGACCATGTAATCCTTTTCAAAACCCTTGAAAATTACTTTGGAATTTCTGGTTCAGTTTTGGCTTGGTTTATGTCCTACCTCTCTGATAGAACGCAGGCGGTCTCTGTCGATGGCTGTCTCTCAGGCAGTGCTGATTTGGTTTACGGGGTACCACAGGGGTCCGTTTTAGGCCTTATTCTATTCACATTGTATACTAGACCACTGCTCCTCTTGCTTGGGAGGCATGCTGTTAAGAGCCAGTCATTTGCAGATGACACGCAGCTATACAAGCATACCCATCCTTCTCTTGTTGAATCCGCTGTCCAGACTTTGCGGGGGTGCATTGATGATGTCAAGTCATGGATGACACTCAGCAAGTTGAAGCTTAATGATGACAAAACGGAGGCACTCCTCATCCAAAATCACACATCATCCTCTACCTCAACTCTTCCTAACTCATTTCAAGTAGGTAACTCTGACGTACGGTTTACACCCTCTGCTAGGAATCTTGGTTATATTCTTTCTAACAACATGTCTCTCGATAAACACATATCTCACATTTGTCGTTCAGCATACACCACTATCCGTCAGATCAGCTCCATACGCCACTACCTCATAGTTAGCACTACAAAAATCTCTAGTCTGTGCTCTTGTTCTCTCTCGTCTTGACTATTGCAACTCTCTTCTGTCAGGTTCACCAAAACACTGCATAGAAAAACTGCAGAAAGTTCAAAACTCAGCTGCTAGGTTAGTTTTAAAGGCAAAAAAACGTGATCTTGTCACTCCACTACTCTATTCCCTTCATTGGCTACCTATACAGGCACGCATTGACTACAAGTTGTCTGTTCTCTGTCACAACTTTTTCTTGGATTCCTGCCCTTCCTATCTAACCGAACTTCTTTCTGTCTGTTCACCCCTTCGACAGCTTCGCTCCTCTGCAGACACGCGTATTCTGTCCGTTCCCAAGACACACACTAAAACATACGGTGAACGATCTTTCTCTTTCTGCGCGCCCAAACAATGGAATTCTCTGCCACTAAACATACGCAATATACCAACCACCCAGGCCTTCGAAACTGCACTCAAAACATATCTTTTTAAATTATACTACCCTGACTGATTCCCCTCCTGTGATTGATAAACAATCTTGCTGGCTGCTGTCCATGGTTTGCCTTGTAAAAGTTATGTGGTGGGGTGGGTGAATATACATTGCTGTTCTTTATTTCATAAATGTATTTTATTTTCATGTCTTGATTATGTCTCTTTTGATAAAAAATTTTATGTACAGCGCGGTGAGCCCAGCCCTAGGCTGGGTTATCGCGCTATATAAGACGTCTTATTATTATTATTATTAATGTTCCACATTGAATCAGAGAGACTTACCCTGTAGAAAGTGGTGTTCTACCACTGAGTGCTGACGCAGCTCTAGGCTGGGGCTGTGGTTTGGTGGTGGGCACAGAAGGTGGTCCACTGGAACTACGGGGGGTGGTGCGTTGAGCTGACAGGTTTTGTTGTGGATGCGGCGGTCCAGCACGGGGACCACTCGATGCTGGCCGATTTTGACGTGTTGAATGTGGGGACAGTTCTAAACAGAAATCAATGTTGGAAAAGATTCTCACACAATACTTCTAAAACATTTAACATAATGAATGTAATAATTAGCTGACATGCTTATTTAAACCTCTTTAGACTATCTCTACAATTTTGTTAAACTCATGTAACATTTAAATATAACTATTTTGTAAACTTGTACATTAATCATTATCTCCACCCCCACATTGAACATTGTCAATAATTAGCTGACATGCTTATTTAAACCTCTTTAGACTATCTCTACAATTTTGTTAAACTCATGTAACATTTAAATATAACTATTTTGTAAACTTGTACATTAATCATTATCTCCACCCCCACATTGAACATTGTCAATAATTACTTTTGTCCTGGTTTTTAACAAAAATGCACTTCACAGTATTTTGCTTAAAATTTTTATTATCTTACACGATGTAGAAATTGAGGTCACTTTATTGAACCCACTTCAAATGTTCACAACAAAAATAATGACAAAATAAATTAACATTTATAAACATATAAAATTTACAAATAGATATCAAATAGGAGCCAAAATAATCAATAATTTGATCATGGGCCCTTAATATATAGAGGAAGAAGAAATCATATAATATACCTAGTCTTCGCCTTGGTCCTGTTTTAAAACAAAAAAAACAATGGAAGCGATAAAAAAAATTTTAAAACATTATTAACACCACAGCTACTGCTAAGTGCTATTAATAGAAGGTTTCAAATTTCACTAGAAAACAGGAAACTTTAAAAAAGAAACAACAAAATTTTTGAAGAAAAAAAAAACACTTATTAACTGTAATTTAAAACTGCTAAAAGATTAAACTAGATCAAACAAAGTCTTTGAAAATATTCAAATAGTAAGAAAGTGTGGTCTTTAAAGAAAATTGATGAATAGAGTTATCAATTAATTACTAAATGTTAATTTGTTTTTAAAGTAATCTTTTTTAATATTTTTTTTTTAAATATGTGTATTCATTTTTTTTAACTTCACTGTTTAAAATTGATAAGACTTTTCAGGAAAACAAAAAAAATTGCTTTGTTTGTAATAAAGTTTTCATTAAAAAACATTTTAAACATATGAAACCATCATTTTCAATTTGCTGGCTAATTAACTCACATGATTGGTGTATTTACGACATCTATCTACAACAACAAAAATCTTTGGGAAAATAAATTTACCTCTTTTCAAATTGAAAAGCAAACAAATTTATAGCAATGTTACATTAAAGCTAATTAAGGGTGCAAATAAAAAAAATATGCATTCCTAAATAGCGATACTAAAAAATTTTATTTTCTGCCCTGTATGTTTGCTATTTCAAGTTTTTGGGTCTCAGCATTTCAATCACATAATTTTATTAAGAGGTAAACCACAAGATTTTTATTTTTACTTCAAAGTTTAAAATAAATTTTATCTCAAAAGTCACATTTTTAAGTATGCATATTTTTTGTTGTAAACCTTTCAAACATTACAATATGTGCCATTAGTTTACTAAAAAAAAGTATAATTTTGCTAACCTCGGGTAACAAGAAATTTTTAAAAATTTAAATGAAGATTAACAGTCTTACCTGATGAGAGTTGACCTCTTGGTGAACTCATCTGCATTTTCAATTGTCTCCTGGCTTCTTCTGTGGCCTTCCTGTTAAAGTGATCTCTTAACTCCAGGAAGTTAGGATATTTCTAAAGATGTGTAATTTTTTAAACATTAAAAAATAAATTAATTTCTTTTTTATTAAATTATATTGACACAGGAAAAGAAACAAACAATTTACATATAGAGGTTCATTTGTTTAAATAGAAATTTCAAGCTCTAATTTGTTTAAAGAGTATATTTATCAATTAGAACTTGTTTTGCATAAGTGAAAACAACAACAAGAGTGTAATTAAGATGTGAACGTTTATTTTTAAACTTGTTATCTTCACTTTATGCAGAACAAGCATTTTTTTTTTTTTAATTCTTTTACCTTTAAATAAAGTTTGAAATTTGCTTACATCAAGTACCAAATTTTTGTTACTGCTAAAGATTTTAAGTACAGAGAAGAATTAATTCAGGTGAATAAACTATTTTGGTCTCCCTCAAATAGTAAAAGCTAAGTTTACTTCCTTTACATTAAAAAACTGATTTGATTCGTTTTGCTTGTTAAAAACTGTACATAAAAGAATTACTATTTTTGTATGTCAGACGAGAGCTTATTTTGTTCAAATGTATTTGTCTTTCCTAGTGCCTAATGAAATTCATTCATGAATACCTTAGGTCAAAAACAATCAAGACAAGTGGTTTCATGAATACCTTAGGTCAAAAACAATCAAGACAAGTGGTTTCATGAATACCTTAGGTCAAAAACAATCAAGACAAGTGATTTCATGAATACCTTAGGTCAAAAACAATCAAGACAAGTGATTTCATGGTAAAGAATGCTCAAGTGATTTAATTTTAAACTAAGCCTACAATAAATTTCATAGGTTAAGATGAAATATGGCTCTCAAACCTGTATATTAACATATCGCTGAGTCCGTAACATGTTGAGTTTGCTCTCGAGAACCTGGTCTGTGATACCCGTCTGATTCTATAATGGTCAACATGTATGTAAGATCCAAAAAAATGAACAAGAACAAAAATAGCAACATGTTTAAGATAATCCAAATAAAAAGCATGTGATCTTTTGTGAGTTTGAGGTATTATTTATTTGTTAACATTTAAACCTTCACAGGAGTGCCAAAATAATGATATATGATGCAAACCATTATGCCCCCACGTTTCATAGTTAGGATGAGTTTAAAAACACATTGAAGTGTCAACCATTTTAAGACTTTGATAACTTGAAGTCAAGTCCAGAAGATCACATCATTAACGCCTGAAGTTAAAATAACCAAGAGAGAAAAAGGAATTGAACATTCCACAACATTCAACAGTTTGATACATGAACAGGCGGCAACAGTGAATTAGGCCAAGGAAATTGCCACTAACTCAACGGCATTTGCTGTTTACCACTTTCTTTTTCCTGCAAGACGTATGCCCTCTTCCACCATTATAGTGGTTACAAGATGGCTGATGTATGTTGTGACGATTCATATCTCTAGGAAAGGGCTAAACAAATTATAAGTAAATCAATTATTTTAAAATTGTTTCAGCTAAAACCTTTACCACAGAAAAGCATTTTAAATTTATGAATATATAATGTTCCTTTCGTGTGGCCTACATCAAAGCACAGCAATACAAAAATGCAATAAATGGTTATACAATTTCTGAAAGATTTCTGTATGTAGCTTTGATCAACATTTTTCGTATCAAGGTGACCATCTGTGTTTATCATCTCACAGCTTTTCTCTTAAGACTTTAAAATTTGTAGAAAGAAAATGAATCTAAATTTACTGGGGATTTTTTTTAAGAATATTTCGATGTACAGAAATATAAGGGTGGCATTATATCAACAGCTATAATACATCAGTTAATAAATGTTAATAAATCCCATCTATGGACCTATAGCATGTCAAAAACAAATGCTTCTCCACAAAAGTACACTGGTCTGGTCCTAGAAGTACTCACAGGTGGTATCCCTTTCTTCTCCACATGCTCCTGTAACAGCTCGGCTAACTGTTCCCTCATTAACGCCAGGGTTGGGTTTTTACGAAATTCCTCTAAAAACTGGCTGGTGTGCAGAGTCTGTGTTCCTGTTTGCCTGTCAAAACAAGTGAATAAAAGCTTTAAACTTTTTCTTGTTAATAAATGATATAAAATTATTTTTACTCCAACATAACTTTCTTTGGTTGCTACATTGTAGCAATTCAATTTCATTGTAAATAAATTCATATGAATCTAGTAAATATGCCAGACATATTTTATTTCTCAATTCCTAAAAGCTTTAGATAGCTTACCCTAAAGTGGAGCCACCAATAGTACGCAAACTACTTGTGCCAGTGCCGAAAGCTGGGGACATAAAGGAGAATGACTGTTGAGTTATGGAACAAATGTTTAACTCTTTTAATGTTAGAGAACAAATACAGTTATTCAATGTCCAAATAACAATAAATGTCATTAAAAATCACATTTGATGAGAAACTTTTCACTATTAAAATATATCAACAGCACAGTCTCCCAATCAATTATATAGTAAAATGAAATTGAATATTTTTAATATCACTAGCTTTGGTGTCTTTGTTCATCTAACTAGTCAAATGTGAAAACTGATTAATTTCGCAATTCCATATAACGTATCATACTGATTTGTCAGGTACTAACATGAAACTCTCTGGTAATAACATCGAACACTCTGCTACTAATATCAAACTATCTGATAGTAATATCAAACCAACCTGTACTTTCCTCCTCATCACTGGGATACATGCTGCTCGGTTTGATGGGTCGACTTTGGATGACATTGGTTTGCTGGTTGGTTGGTTTATTGGTTTGCTGGTTTATGTTTGACCTTGGACTTTTGCTGAGTGGAGGGGTCCTCAGTGGTTTGACTTCACTCTGTCACGGATTTAATTAAAGATCAGTTGTTGATTGCAACAGGAAGTAGTCCTTGGGGCTTTTTAATTATTGATTTATTACTACAGCGAGAACTGGCACTAAATGTTGACGTGACGACAACACTTGCAGCTTGCTACATTATTAATAAATGTCTAGAAATCAAATTTTGTTGAAATTTGGGGCCCACCGACTAAATGAAACTAAATACATTTGGGGTTTCTTTAACTCAATCAAAATATATACTTTTTGAACTCATCAAATCAAATATATAAATTTATACAACGAACTTAACTAAACTATAATTACATTAATTTTTTTAGAACAGTTTCTACCTCAGATTTAATTTATTTTTAAAATATTACAAGATAAATACCCATCAATTATTAAATGATCCAAGACTCTAATGCATTGTGTGTTAGTGAAACATTGTCCATGCGCAAGCATTGTAAACATTCTAGTGCTAGATGCAATAATATAATATGGCTTTTAAGTGATAAGAAATAATTAACATCATGATGACCATATTCTATAAATAAATCTGAACATCAACTGAGCTTAGAATCAGACCAAATCCTCAAATGAATGAAATAAAAGAAAGAGAAATAACAAGTACCGCTTGCACAATTTCTTGCTCTATCTGCTGTACCTCCACCTCAAGGGCCTTCTCTCGTTCTCTGGATTGCTAAGGGAGATAAACATAGTTACAGAACTCATGCACTAATGTAAATCAAAGGCTCATAATGCAATGTGTAAGACCAACACTCTGTTATGTCCCAAGATACTGAACATAAAAAAGCAAGTATATTAAAAAAAGAAATCAACACATTTTACCTACAAGTAAGACGGACACAGAATAAACACCATTAATCTGATAATACTGTTATATTAATAAAATAGCTTGGAAACAGCTCCTCACCAAAACAGCAAATAAATCATTGTTATTTTTAGTTGCACATCACACATTTTTGTAATTAGTGAATATGTTGATAAAACAGGTTGAAGATAGTTGTATTACTAGAGCAAGAACTCAATAAACCACACCAAGTGCAAGAGACTAAATATCAATAATAATGCAGTAGCTTACAAAATTTTGTGATAAAAATTAAGACCAAAATTAATAGTTTATGCACCACAGTTTTAATTGAACCCCAGCCTATTGTATTATTATTTCCCTTTAATACCTAACAATCCAATGCAAATATAATGTAGTGTTAACTAAAAAAACAAATGTTTTTGAAAGACAAAGATTCTTGAGTGATAAATGACTTAACATTTTATGCCTCTGATGAAAGGCCTTAATTTCATTTAAAACCAATTTAATGGATCAAATAAATATCATAACAAGTAAAGATCCAAAGAAATATTTATTTAATGAAAAGGGATTTGCTTCAATGATTTTTTTAAATAATTTTTTTTCATCTTCAAAGCAAATTGAAACAGCAGAAACTCTTCCTTAAGTAGAGTATAAAATTCTGTTCATTTTTTTCCCCTCTGCATTACGAGTTTTATAATATTAATGTATTTTTTAAGTTAACTGGACCATTTAGTTTAAAACTTATCAAATGACCAGATTTATACCACACACACCCAGTGTTAAATATATGTCGTAGATCAAATTACCTGAGTTCTACCAACGGACACCTTTCATGAAATAGAAAACATAACACCTGACTTTTATACCAGTCATGAAAGGTTAACAGAATTTCATCTCCAAAAGAAATTATCGAGAAAATTGAAGTTATTGATAATCACTATGCAGCACATGACGAAAAACTGATAAATTATAACTTGCACATGCTTTAATTAAAAAGGGAAATGCAGTGATGCTATTGTAAACAGATTCTTTCTTACATATTTTTCTTTAACTACAAGTGCAATGAACACATTATGACTTGCCAATGTAAAAGGTGTCAATGTTAGAATGTAACAAAAAGATCCCCCAAAACAGCAGAAAAATGAAATGTTCCATTGACATTTGTATAACAAAACTTATTTAATATTATAAGAAAACTAATAAGCCTCTTACAAAACACAATATAAATTAATGAAATGCATAACAGTGAAATAATAAGCATGTACAAATACCATGCCGAGAACAATGATAACTGCAGACTTACAATTTCTATTTTCATTGACTTTAAATAATTTTCAAGAGCATCCTTAACCAAAAATAAGTCGTTCATGTAAAGATGTTTTAGGCTTCAAAACACAGTTAGTTTAACAAAACAGCATTTTTAAAATGTTTGTGTAAATTAAATAAATTTTTCTATGCAATTCTTAACTTATGCTACACTACAATGAACATTTGCTAAAGCTTAACACCTGTCTCCTTTTTAAACCTTTGCTATATTATGTTAATGTAAGTGTATGAGAAGCCTACTTGCTTAATTCATGAATACGCCAAAAAATGGTGACATCAATAGATTTCTGAGAAAATACAATTAAGTATTTGATGCAACGTAAGGTCTGCATAGTAAGCTTATCTAAGAGTGCATGCTGCTCTATAATGACATGCCATTAGACACAGTAAGAAAGCTTACTTTTAACAAGCGCTCTACTTCCTTTTGTTGATTGCTAGCTGCTCTGGGGGACGGAGGCAAGCCATCTTGGGAACGGGTTGTTGTTTCTAAGGCATTATTTAGCTGCAAACATTAAACGACCAATATAAAAGATTCATTGACATTAAAATATTAACCTGATAAAGAGAAATAGATGACCAAATCATTTTTTTTTTTTTAATTAATAAAATTGATAATAAATTCTATGGCATGAAATGCAAATACTTTATTTTTTAAGAGATTGAAGAGTGTAACATCCGTTTCATTTTTTTCCTTTTTCCATTTGTTCAGTGAGCACAAAATTGAAAACTGACCTTCTTTGTTTCACTGACATGTTGTTGAGCCATCCTATGCATTTTCTTCTGCCATTTCTTTCCCTGCCTCTCAAGCTTGGTCTGCATGTGTTCCTTCATCTGGTCAAGCTGTGCAGCAAGAGAATGTTTAAGATATAATGGAAACGTATTGGCTGGTCAAATTTAGCCTCATTTCAGTCCAAATGGGCTCAAGATCAGGGCCCTTCATTAGCAATGTCTGCACAGTTTTAAAATAATTTAAACTCGTCTCTCTACCCCATAGACAGCGACGAGGCGATGACAGGCAATTCAGGCTCATACCAGCAAGAAGCCAGTATAGGAGCTGCTCATTCCTGCCCAAGACAATCAGGGACTGGAACAAGCTTTCAAAAGAAACAGTTGAGGCGACAACACTAGACTCATTTGTGTCTATTGCCTCAAGCCTTCCAACCCCCATTGCATGATTCCTTCACAAAGTGGCACTTGTAATCATTGAAATATCCTAATCAGCACCAGGCACAGAAACATTGCAAAGCCCCTCTACATGCATAGGAGCCAAAATGATCAATAAATTGATCGTGGGCCCTTAATATATAGACGAAGAAGAAGAAGATGTTCACATTGTAGAACATCAACTCCACGTGGCCTTTATTCAAACCAAGATGCTCACATTTTATAATCACCAACCAACAATTAAAAAGTTTATTTCTATAGCATGCTTCATTTGAGTACAGATAATTAAAGTTAATTATGTAGACCATGTATTGTTAAACATTGCACTTGTAACAAGTCTCACTATAGTGTTGCATGCAACAGCAGCAGTATTAAGTGCATTATTGTATTAGACAAATTAACAAAATACGCCGCTGATGTTGCACGTCGAGTGACAGCATGTGATGTTAGAGCCTGATATGGCTTTTATGTACCCATCAGCCTGTGATATGGCCTTTATGTACCCATCAGCCTGTGATATGGCCTTTATGTACCCATCAGCCTGTGATATGGCCTTTATGTACCCATCAGCCTGTGATATGGCCTTTATGAACCCATCAGCCTGTGATATGGCCTTTATGTACCCACCAGCATGTGATATGGCCTTTATGTACCCATCAGCCTGTGATATGGCCTTTATGTACCCACCAGCCTGTGATATGCCCTTTATGTACCCACCAGCCTGTGATATGGCCATTATGTACCCAACAGCCTGTGATATGTCCATTACGTACCCACCAGCCTTGTACCCACCAGCCTGTGATATGGCCTTTATGTACCCACCAGCCTGTGATATGGCCTTTATGTACCCACCAGCCTGTGATATGGCCTTTATGTACCCACCAGCCTGTGATATGGCCTTTATGTACCCACCAGCCTGTGATATGGCCTTTATGTACCCATCAGCCTGAACAACACTCAACACGCAACAATCAGTATAAGCCACTGTAAAATCCCATGCCTATTCGTACTTCAATTTGAATTACTTCTTAAAAGGCCAAGTTCATGATCTTGATGTGAAAAATCTGCTGATAGACTCTTCTGTTTTAAATTCAATGACATCTCACCTGATGCTGTAGTTGTTCCTTCATGACAGCTATCTCCAATTTCTGTTCTTTTACCTCCTGCTTATCAATCTCATTGTCATCCACAAGTTCTCCGAGATAAGATCGCTTGCCTGGTGAGCAAAAACAGAGACCGTGATTGAAAGGTTCTTTAGACCCTGTAAACTTTTCAGTTACAGAATAAAAAATGAACCAGCAAGATATTGAAAATTGTGTCAAATAGAATTTTTTTTTAATTGAATCTCAGTTATGAAGACTAATTGTGTCCAGGCTAAGCCTGTAATCAATCAGAATAATCAATGCGATAATATCAGAAATGAAGGCAGTTTTTTCAACAAATTATAATTGTAGCTTTGCTGAAAAAGATTTGATCCAGAACATAAAAGTGTTTTCATCCTTATTATATTCTCACTCAAAGTGCCATGAAGATACGACATTCTTTCTCTTTTGGGGTATAAATTGTACATTGCTAGATCATAAATTGATACTCCAGATAACTGAAGGTCTGGATAACTGATAACATTTAGCTCACCTCCAGTTCTTGTTTCCAACTCCACCAAAGCCTTCTGCGATGCTTGCAACTTAGCATTGAGTTCTTTTATTTCTCTCATTAATGCCACGCTGATACCAGCTTCACCCTCCTCCTGTAATGAAAGGTCATCATGTTCACAAATCTATACAACTTTATTATTTAATGTTACCTATTTAAATAATCTTGCATAGATATTCACCTGTCCCAAATCAGAATGGACTGCAATATTTTGTTTGATCTCAGTTGCCAGAATTCTTGAATCCTAAAGAAGAAAAAATATTCCTTTTAAAAGAGGCCATATCAACCATCATTAAATCCACTGAGTCTCACAAAAATTACTATTGTTAACATAATATATGGCCACATTTGTGGAACATTCCAATTAACTGATGTGTGTGTTCTATGATATATTTATTTTTATCTCAAATATTAATAAGTTAATTTTAAACACATGAGGGTAATATATTTATAACTTAAAAAATAATTATGTTGAAAAATCCTTTTAAGAGCCCTAAGTTACTTAAGTATTTATCTTGGAAAGATGTCATTGTAATATAGTAAAGACACAAAATAAATACTTTATTTTTCAGTGAAAGCAGTGCTTTTCTCTCAGCTTCAATCTCAGCCTGCTGTCTCTGCATCTGTTCCTTGATCTGGCTTAATTCTGCTTCCAGGTGGTTCCTGCCACTCTCTGAGCCAACACCGAGATCGGGACTAACTGAGCTAGAACCATCTTTAGCAGTGATTGCCCCAGAGTGGCGTCTTGTGATGTGTGCTTGTAGAAAAGTGGTGTTGAGAAAAGCTTTAGCGCAGAAGGGGCACTACAAGAAACAAAAAATGTATTGATTAATCAGACATTTTTAATCTGTTTGAACATTTTTTGATGTCACAATTACTTCCTAATTTTCATGACCCTGATCTAGCATAATTAATTACTTTAAGAAAACAGATTTTTTTAGTCTATCATGGACATTTAAACAACACACTAATGCCAAATGTTTTTTGTTCTTTAACCTCATTTCATCCACAGGGACATTTATCATCACCAATAGGACTAAAGGTTAATATTTGTAATAATCCTTCACAATTCTTAGGGTCTGTAGGACTTTAAAAATATTTGACTTTCCAAATGAATGAAAAAAAATGTGTAAACCTCCCTCCATTGACTACACCAATCACTTTCTGATCTCTTGACACCAATCACTTTCTGATCTCTTGACACCAATACCTTTCTGATCTTTTAAAACCAATTCCTTTCCCCTTCATTAAAAGCAATCCCTTTCCCCTCCAACAACACCAAGCTATTTCCCCTCCAATGACACAAATCCCATTCCCCTCCAACAACACCAAGCTATTTCCCCTCCAATGACACAAATCCCTTTCCCCTCCAATGACCCCAATCCCTTTCCCCTCCGACACCAATACCCCCTGCTGATGTTTTCAGCAATTTTAGACAGGCTTTATTTTCTGCATATTTATTTTTTCCTTTTTTAACGTTCTGTGAATAATTATTGTTTATAAATTTTGAAGTATCCTTGAAATACTTCTTTGTAGATGGGACTTGTTATCCGTGGATGGTGGCAGGTCTAGGGCCACGGGAGTAAACCCTTACAGTTAATTCAACAGCACTTTAGAAATATAGGCAGATTAGCTAATAGAGGTGCCATACTTATTATACAGACAATTTGGTTGCGGTCAAGGACTCTTCAAAAATAAAATACCCTGTCACAATTGAATTGACTAGAAAGAAGGCGTGCTATTTATATTCAGTTCACACATGTTACCTTATTGTAGCTCTCGTTCCCTGCATACATCAACTGCTGCTGAGCTATCAGCAATTTTTTCCTTTTATGACTTTCTTTTTTCACTTCGGTCAATTCTTTCTGAAGCGATGTCACTTCCATTTTTATCTTTTCGACTTCCTGTCATTAAAATTGTATTTTGATTAAAAGCTGCCTGCCAAACTGAATTAAATATGCACAAAATATTTTTGATTAAATCCTTGTGGGTTTTTGTTGTTTGGGATTTGGGGGGGGGGGGGGGGGGGGGTGGCGAGTTGAAATGACCGGTTTTAACCAGGGTGGCCTTTAAATTTATGGATTTTCAGTAAAAATTCTACCACAAATGACTTGTTCGCAAAAACTTTAGGATGTCTGTAAAAAAATGAGATAGTGTACAAAAAATCTTTTGAAACCAACAAGAAGGGAAATCTTAGGGTTTGTGATTTCTTCTTGCTTGCTTCAAACTTGTAAGAATACTCAACACTGATAATTATGTGATATAATAAAATGATGTAACAAAATAGGCTCAATCCTCATGGTAATAAAAATTGTAAGTTTATTCTTAACATGTGTCCTTAAAAAATTATTTTCTCCGTAAAAATTGTGGAGACTTTGAATATTTGTCTGCAATAGTTTGTTTTTTTGAGTTGGCGACCCTGGTCTTAACTTATAAGTGTGGTGGTCTTTAAGAAAATAACTATAATTTTAAAGGCATTGAAAGACATTTAACTCTGATTTCAGTACTTAGGAAATACCTTATGCAAGCAATCACAGCAAATCAAAACCAATTAAACTTAAAACTTTACCTGATCTGATAGTTTAGCCTTTTCCTCCAGAGATGCACATAGACCAGCTAAATACTCTTGACTGTGCTATAGATAAATAATGAGTCTTTGTGATTGGTCATTTTAAATAGATACATAGATAAACAGATTTCATAGAATATTAAGTAGTTATTATTAGTTCATAATATTGTGTGAATATTAGTTGAAAATATCCATACCACAAGTCAATTTAGAAGCAAAATGAAATAATAAAGTTAAAATGTCTTTTCAAGTGACTTTAAAAGTGAAGAAAAGTCCTTACTACTTACTAATAAGTATTCAATCGTAAGCTGAGCAAGTTTGAATAGCTTCACAAAATTGGGGTCAATGGAACGAATATCCTGAAGAATACAAAATACTTTAATAAGACAGAATAAATGATGATAAATCGTAAAGGATTTATGTCTGATGGTTAGTGCTTTTGCAAGGATTCACAGTGGTACTTACATTAATTTAATTTCTGTATGAGATTTCCAATAATATATTCTAATCAGAGCTCTTTTGTCGCAGAATGCTGCTAAATTGCATTCGGGTACCTATATTTGCAGACTTTAACTTCAATTATCTAAGTGTACATTTTTAAAATTAAACAAATAGGAATTCTTGCACACTTTTTCTTATAATAAAGCACTGATTTTAATAAAACTAACACTAAAAGCTTGTGTTTCCTTTGTAGAACCAAAGGTTCCAGAACTCTTTTCATGACAAGTTTTTATTTTTATCAATATTCTTCTTGAAAAAAGTGGCTGACAATGTGCAGAAACAGCCTCACAAAAAAAACACTGCTCAAACTTACATAACAAAAGACATAAACCCATGTATGTTTCATTAGTCTAAAACATAAAATAAATATATGAGTTTAAAATATCTAATTTGAGCTATATTTCCCATTTTACAAATATTTTATTTATTTAGTTTTCATAAGCCACCAAAGTATTAAAAGAAATTACCAGCTCTGCTTCCAAGTTACAAAATGTTATGTTCATGACGTTATCTTGTAGTGTGGTAAAGTCTAATGTCCGAGAGATATGGTCTATGTCTACAGAGGCAATCTTTCTCCAATCCACTCTTTCTACTCTTTTACGGAAAGAAAATCCCCCATTTCTGCCATTAGGGTATCCATTGTACCCAACTGAAGGAGGAGCCCCCATGTATGCATAGGGTGACATGAACTGTGTTGCCATGCTGTGATCAATCATCTGGGAATATACAAAACATAGAAAATAATTATATACTGTAAAAGATCAATAGTTTTTTTTAAATTAATGCTGCATCTATTCTTTAATGTTTTTTAAAAAGATTTTACTATGGACTTGCATCTGGTGACCCAGTCTGCTTGAGACACGCTATGTTTATTTCATTTTTACTTTATACTATATTATTAATTATGGATAATAAGGCATTTTTGGCATCACTATATTCATTATACATGGTGCAACAAGCACAGATAGCCAAAGTCTAAATTATGTGATCTAGTGTTTATTGTTAGTTAGAAACCAAGGGAGTCATTTATCTAATATTATGTTTTAGCTTCCATAATATAGCCACATTCCTAGCTGCCCTCTCTGTTTTTAAAAAGCCCACCACAGCTTGAGACATTTTTATGATGTGTGTAAAAAATAAAACATTTTAGGGTGAAACTATGTTCAAACTCCATTCATTGCTTTAGCATAGTTGGTAAATCACATGAGAGCACTAGAGTAACATGGAAAAGGGGGAGGTCACAAAAGCTAAGGAGTGGTATGGCTTAACATTTAGCAGTAATTTATGTTAAATTAAAAGCACATGAGCAGAGAAACCATTAGAGAACCTCGGGTACATAAAATGGAATACTATCTTCTCCATCTTTCTGTTACTTGTTTTGTGAGGCGTCGTAGGGTGTCGGGTATAATTACTAAGAGTGTTTAGAAAGATGAATGGAGAAACCAAAAGTAACTTGATGTGTAGCTATTTGGTCATTGTAAAAATGTCCACTACCCCATCAACGGGATAGAATAAATAGGTGAGCATGGCCACTTAACTACTGCATTTTGTGGGATATGATAGGGAAGTTTTTGGGTCAGAGTAATCGAGATGGGAGCTGGGGTACTAAAGGTGACACAATTGAATGACTACGGTGGGCAGAGACTGTTTATTGTACCATATTATTCCAACAGGTAGTCTAGCCAGATATAAGAGAGTGTGTGCACATCCTGAATAGTTGCGACTTTAGGAACAAGTGACTGGTGTTCAGAGATCAGAGTATGAGACGTTTAATGAGTAGAAAACAGAGTACAAGCTGTGTTTGGTTGTCATTAGTGCAAGTCAGTCAGGGAGGAATTTTGAGAGACAGTAAAGTACCTTCCTGAAAGTACTTTTTTTTATAAACAAACATAAGAATGCATGGCCAAATAAATTCTGGATGACTTATGTTTCTTCTGATGAATTTCCACAACAATGGAAATGTAACAAAATGTTGACCACTTGTTTCTGGAAGCACCCTACATCAGTGAAGCTGAATTCTCTGTAATCACCAACATCAAATACTTTAACTTTGCCTGATGAACATAAAAAAATCCAATGAGGGCTGGCTGCTGGTGCACTGATAACTACATCAAATTAAGAAAATCCCAAGCATAACACAAAGCAAAATATATCATTAACGTTAAAGAGGACTACAGTGTTTATTCATTTTATTTATATTTTTGATGAGCTGCTGCTACTGCTATTGGATATAAGGCTCTTGGTGCATAAGGTAAGAAGTATTGGTAAATGTTGAGAGAGGATGACATGATTGGCCGCCATCTTGGTTAAAAAGACCAGTTAATTCTGTCACTAAATCTAAGTAAATGTATCCCTAAACCTAACCTGAACCCTAAAATGTATCCCTAAACCTAACCTGAACCCTAAATCTAACCTGAACCCTAAATCTAGCCTGAACCCTAAATGTATCCCGCCTAAACCTAACCTGAACCCTAATTCATGGCAACTTTAATTAATAAACACTGAAAAGGCGTCGTGGCATCCACAACACTAGCATTAGCCGAAGTATTAATAATAATGAATTAATATTAATAATATGAATAATTTTCTAAAGAGTAAAAAAAAATCTTTCTTTTTGAGATATCATTTGCGACCCTCAGTTCAGGATCACAGAATAATTTTTTTGGGCCCATGTTATGTACCTAGACCTAGACGTAGTAAAAAAAGGTTGGACAGCACTGACATACATTAATTTTAATCATTGATACTATTCTAAGTATTTTTGGCACTCTGACTTTAAACTTTTTTTACTTGAATGAATCATTGATCAAGGAATGATCATATTATATATTCATATAATGATATAATATGTAATATGTAGTATGTAGTTACAATTACAATTACATTATTACATGTCATTGGTGCCTATTATTAAGGATTAACTTAATATGGTTTGTGTTTGGTCTTTAAATAAACTGTCTCCAACTATACATCCCATAGTTATATATTCACTGGGGGGGAAATAGAATTTATTACTAGGCCTATGTATTTTTAGTTTCTCTTTACTTAGGAAGTGCGAAAATTGCTATTTCAGTTTCCTCCGTTGTCAACTCAAACTACCGCCATCTTGAATGCTTAGAAGGAAATCTCGCAATGTTGATTTTTTAAATTAATAAAATTAATAAAATTTTAAACTATGTAGCCGAAATATTTTTTTAAAACAAGTCATATTTAAGCTTTAAAATATATATTTATTATTTATTTTATAAATACGTCATTGATTCCGAAAGTACGACCCGGAAATAAAATTCCCACCAATAACAACAGACCACGAGTAGAAGGCAACGAAGCTTGTTTATTTGAGGCACCGAATATTTGTGTCGCATTGCTTGAGATCAAAACATGAGCGGCTACTAGTTTCATGACCAACGGCTACCAAAAAGTGGTATACCCTAAAAGTCATACTGCTAATAAACCCCAAAAATGAAGTGTGATACGTCTGAATATTGGTCACGTATCGTTCGATCGTTTACGGTTCTTTTGCTTACCTGTGACATCTACACTTTCAATGGTAGGAAAATTAAAATTAATTAACAGTGTCAGTACAGTTGAAACTTGAAATTATTGGTCTTGGTTGGCTTAGAAATTTCTCTTCAAAGTTCTTAAACTTTCAATACTTAATACAATATAACTATTATACTATAATTTAAAATTAAAAGTAGCATTGCGTGATATTTGTTATATATATAAACTATAAACAGACCTGTTTACCCGCAAACTCTTAAAATCGTACAATATCACAAAATCATTCAATACATTATATTTATAGTAAAAAATAAGCATACATATATACAATCTATACACCTCAAAATCGTACATTGTTCGCCAAAATCGTAAGAGTAAACAGGTCTGTATAAATAACAATTAACATGTTATAAAAATAATAGTAACCAGTAAACTGTAAACTGTTTGGCTAAGCCTAATCCTAGGCCTAGTTACGATTGCCGCAACTTATTTTCCAGGGAGTGACTTCCCTTTGTTTATTTTTACTAAATTATTTTAGGGATCGATTTAGGGTTCAGGTTAGGCATAGTGATCGATTTAGGGTTTCAGGTTAGGCATAGGTAGATACTTCCATGAAACAAGGGAGACTACTACTTTTTGTGTATTGGAAATGGGCGTCGGCGCCGAAAAATCTGAGTTTTTAATTTTCCGATGTGTGTGTCTATTTATTATTAAATTAGTTCTTTCGACATATATTTGAGTTCCGTTTCCGGCCTTATAATTTGGAAGACATCTTGGCCTACATTTCTAGCCAGCTATTTTGCTTTTTTCAATCGATCTTTATTTTTAAAATCGTTGGTATGTATAAGGCATCTTCGCATACAAAATTTTTTGTGAAATAATAAGATAAGGCCCTTTTTGATAAAATCTGTATAAGCATTAGATATTGATCTATATCTGTGCCAAGTTTCATTGATGTAGGTCGTGTCCCACGTTCTTTACGCTTCTCCCAGTGACCCATATCACCATAAGGTGTCTCAGCCTAATTTCGACATGGCGTAGGCCACGCCACCTTTTTAATGGCGGAAGTTGCAGATACTTAGGAAATATTTAATTATTACCACTATATACATATTTTATATTTTATAAATATTTTATATTTTGTGTTTCAGAATGCATTTTGAAGACATTTAAACTGGAATGTTTTAGTTTGAGCTTTAAAAACCTTGTAGAGTCCATAATATAAATGATCAGAATTTTCCCTGTGCAACACGTTGTCATTGGCAACCATTCACAACCACTTGCATAACGGTTATATCGTAGTACTATCTCAGAGTTTGATTCATAAGAGTTTGCAGTGTGCATAAACTATTAAACCATTGGTCAGGGAAAGCTTTTATTAATTATTCATGTGCCAAAGTTGAAAGTTTAAAATAAGTCGACCCTAAACAGTATTTTAGTGATAAGGAATGCATTGCCTTATATAAACTATATAGTTATTGCACATGACATGATCAGCGGAATGAGGTCACAGAATGTGGAGATTCAGTCCATGTTAAAAAAGGACAAACCAAGTCGTACTTTAAAAATTCATAACTTTAAAACTACAACAGCTAAAAATATGATTTTGGTGTTATAATTCTGTAAAAAAATTAGCCCTATTCAACTATGCCATTGGTTTATTTTGACAAAATGTTTAAATATTTGACCAAAGTATCTAGGCATAGGGATAGATTTAGCGTTCAGGTTAGGCATAGGGATAGATGACTTGATGTGTCGTGTTAACCAAAATGGTGGCCATTGAGAAAATAGTGGCAATCGTAGTCAAAATTTACCAAATGTTTGTATTTATTTTACATTTATATGTCCCTCAAAATAAAAATTCATGAGTTTTAATTATGCTCTTAAGATAAGACAATGTGTTTTTTTCCGTATACTCACTTTTAACAAATTAATAAATGCAGTGGTGGAAGGAGTTAATCCGGAAGTTGAACAGCATTTAGAGATGGGGAAAAAGCTGTTGGCGGCGGGACAGTTAGCAGATGCACTTTCACATTACCATGCTGCAGTTGGTAAGAAGTTTGAATTATATCATTTTAGACACTAATGCTCAGTTCACACAATCGAATTTTCTTCTGGAAACGCACTATTTTGTATAAACAAATGTTTGTTGCTAGGATAATATTTAATTATTTTATATAAAATTTAAATCCGCTTCTTTAATGTTTTGTTTAGAGGGTGATCCAGACAACTATCTCACATATTTCAAGAGAGCAACTGTTTTCTTGGCTTTGGGAAAATCACGATCAGCACTACCTGACCTTAATAAAGTAGTGCAGCTTAAGCCAGACTTTACTGCTGTAGGTTTTACATTTTAAATCACCTTTTTAGTTCTATTTATTAATCTGCTGAAAATAATCATTGGCTTTAATATCATATAATAAACTTTTTATTAAACATTTACATTAGCCTACCCAATGTTATTTATGCTCTTTGAAATGTCAATTCTTTTCTTAATAAAAAAAATATCTTTGTTTCACAAATAAAAGGCCCGTATGCAGAGAGGAAATGTTTTACTGAAACAAGGCAAATTAGATGAGGCATTGGAGGATTTCCGGGAAATTGTAAGTTTTATAACATAAATAAATTTTATAATTTCTTGTATTTGTAGTTTTTCACAAATATTTTATTTTGAGCTGTTTCAGAATGTTATAGATAATAGCTGTTTCTTCAAGAATGAATGGCCATTTTTTAAAATTGAGGTGCACATATCACCTAGTCATTATGTTAACTGCCACAATCTTGCTCAACTTTGTCTCTAATTGATTTTGACTATTGATTGTCTCATGATGTTATTTCCTTGCTGGTATTAATAGATGTGATGGTGATGCTGAGATTGGCTCACACCTAGACTCCAACAATAATACTTGGGATTAGTGCACTGTGATTAAATGGAAGGTGTTGCCTGATGTAACAGATGTGCCGAAAAACAATTTCATCTTGTTATAAATAAAGTTGTCACTCATCTGTCAACAGCTGATCTATTCCTTTTTCCCTTTATTAATTTTAGTAATCTGTCACAGATGTTATTTTTTTAATTCAGGTTGAAAGAGAACCCAATAATCAAGATGCTTTAGAAAAGCTGAATATGATTGAACCTCTGAAAGAAACTATTGCACATGCCAAGTTATATTTTGAACAGAAGTCTTATCAAGATGCAATTATTTTGCTGGAGCGGCCTATTGAGGTAAATATCAGTCGGGCTTCAAACAAACATGCTTGAACTAATTGAATCCATATTGTCTGGCTGTTGTAAAGCATTAAAATATCATATTAAATGTTATTAAGTTAAAACTATGTTTTGATTGTGTGGATGGCATGTGTTAATTTAATTAACTGATTGATTTGTCTGACTGAGTAAAATACTCAAAATTTTCAGCTTTGCCCTTGGGACACAGATTTGCGTGAAATGAGGGCTGATGCTTACGTTGCTCAAGGTGAATATTTCAAGGCTATCAGTGACATTCGTCCTACAGCCAAGCTAACACCTGACAATACAAGAGCTTATTTCCGAATGAGTTTGTTACATTATAAGATGGGAGAAGAGGAAGAAAGTTTGACGTAAGTACTCTATAAAATTACTCCCAAAATTCAGTTTCTATTAGATTTGATATTCTATTAAAAAGTAATTTTTATTTATCTAATTCCAAGCTTCTAAGTGTTATAGAAGGGGTCCCAGTGTCTGTAATCAGAGGAAGGAAATCTTGCTAAAAAATTGAGGTGGGTTTTTTTTTTTTTTTGTTTGCTCTGCAGGCAGATTCGTGAGTGCCTTAAGTTGGATCCTGACCACAAAGATTGCTTTGAGCACTACAAGAAAGTGAAGAAACTTGTGAAACAGCTGCAAGATGCAGAAGCGCTTAAAAACAATCAGAAGTATGAAGAATGTGTTGGTAAAGCTAGAAATATATTGAAGACGGAGTCAGAAGTTGTTCCATTCACTCAGAGGGCGAAGTCTTACATCTGTCACTGTCAGGCGCAGGTTTGTGCTTTAGGTTCTTTTCATTTTTCTTTGTCTCCAACACTAAGAGATACCAAAATATTTCTTTGTGTTTCTTCCATAAATGTAATTTATCCATTTAATATAAAAATCAATTACTTCCTTTGATAATCAAAGTTTTTTTGTTTTTTTTTTTATTAATTATTTTATCTGGTAATTATTTCCACAAAACAAAGTTTTTATTCATTTTTATCTGGTATTTAGTCAGGTGATGTAAATGAGGCCTTGAAGTCATGCAGTGAAGTCCTTCAACTTGACCCAGATAATATTGATGCTATGGTAGACAAAGCAGAAGCACATATTGCCAATGAGGACTATGAAGCAGGTAAATATTTTATGAACTTCTGATTTAACGTATCTGTAACCCCGTTATTAAGATAATTGGAAGCTGCATTTTCTAATGAACTTTTCTTTTTTCAAAATGTCTGAAGTAGAAATTTCAGCTTTTATTTTGTCATTAAAATAGCTTTTATATTTTGCCCTATTTATTGACATCGTCATCATCCTAATCCATTTTAATGTTAACAGAGGCAGCTGTTGGTGTTTTGTTGGGGCTTTTTTTGGTAGTTGAGGTGTCAGTTTAGTTGTACTTTGGTGGCATTTTATGTCATCTTTGAGAATTTCCCCAGGCATTTGTGTAAACCCAAAGTTTTGTGTTGAACCCATATCACATCCATTTAGCTATACTTATTCTCTGATAGATTTGACTGTGATGTGGACGTGTTTTCATGCTCTCTATTTAACTTGAGTATCTGCTTTGATTGATTGATTGGATATTTATATAATGCTGGTATCCTTGCCACTTTAGCATGTTTCTTAACCCTTTACGGGGCAGAGCGGCCGAAAACGTCTTCACCACTTAAAGGGCAAAAGCGTCCGTGACGACTTAGTGTTGTTTTCTCGTGACCTCCGAGGCTTTGCGAGACTTCCTATTGTTTACATCCGGTTTTTCCAATAGCTAAATAGAGTAGGCGCCAGTTACTAGTATTTAATCGATTTTTTTTTAGTTTTAGTAGTTAAAAAAAAAAAAAAATTCGAAATGGATTTTGCAGATTATTCAAGTGATAGCGGAGATTTCGCTGGATTCAATTAAAGTGACATTTAAGTGCACGAATTGACTGTAAATTGGAACTAGATGTTTATATTATTAGTAATATTAGTGAAATCAGTGTACTAAGCAGTGTTGAACTTTACAAACTTCAATTTTGTGGCAGTGTTTGTAAATAGTAAATAGATGATTCACAATCACAAACAATATGTTGTTTTTGCAAATATTTGTGTTCATATAAGGATTAATGGCAACATTTGAGTACAATTATAAATCTGCATTCATTTTCCTTTATTTTGCTTTTTATTTCCCACAAATTTGCTGACGAACACCTTAGATTTGATTTTTTTTGTAATGTAACCATTTAGATCATTTTTTGATATAAGCAGTTGGGTTATGTTTGTTTGGGGATATGATTTGTATAATTTGCAAATCTTCTCTTGCTGCTAGTAGATTGTTTTTCTCTTCAATTTGAAGTTCTGTCTAAAAATATTCTCTTGTGTGTTCTCCATTTGTCAACTAATTGTCTCACTCATCTAGTGTGTTTCCTTCTAGACTTCTGTAATATTCTACCATCTGGATAACTGCTGCTTCTCTTCTCAGATTTTGGGGCTCAGTATTGTTATTTGAGTTTCAAATTCTAAAGGCAACTAAGATCCATGTTTATATTAATGGGCTTGCCATTGAGGAGACTGTTCTATGCAACCGTTTCGTCCCAGCTTCTTCGTGAACTATTCACGGTGTAGAAACCCACTGTACAAAACCCTATTAGAGGGCGTCTGATGCTTCCTCTGGATGGGCAGGGGGAGATAGTAAGACGAGCATACACCATCCCGACCTCTGAGAAAGTGTACTGCTGATATTGTGAGAGCAACATCACCTACCAACCGGATGTCCTTAGGTTGAGATGGCCCCATAAGGCTAGTTGGTTGAGTTAAGTTTTGGGTGGGGTCTGTCCTAGCAGAAGGAGATCTCCAACATGCCACTGCATGGACTTTGTCGGGGGGGGGGGGGGCCGACATTAAGAGCTTTTTTAGCTCAAAAGCTGGTGGAAGACATTTCCAAAGGGGGGGGGGGCCGACATTAAGAGCTTTTTTAGCTCAAAAGCTTGCTGAAGACATTTCCTAATGTACATATTAATTGGCTTGCATTATTTTCAGCTATTCAACAACTACAGCAGGCGCAGGAGATTGATGGTAATTCTCGTAGAGTTCAAGAAGCATTAAACAAAGCACAAAAATTAGAGAAGCAGTCAAAGAAAAGAGATTACTACAAAATATTAGGTGTAAAAAGGTAACCAAACTAGAGGAGTCATACAAATGAGCCCAGTATATTTAGTTAACTGTTGCAGTGTTCTATGATGTTGTGTGAATGTCTGTTTATTTTTAATAATGTTAAAGGGATTATTAAACTTACAGGATATTTTATTATTACACATTTGATCCGGTATTACATACAATTTTATGTATGTGATTTTTAGTGTTAAAAAATTTTATTACAGAACTGCGTCAAAGAAAGAAATATTGAAAGCATACAGAAAACTTGCTGTTAAGTGGCACCCAGACAAACATGAAGGCCCAGAGAAAGACAAGGCCCAGAAGGTCTTTATAGATCTTGCAGCAGCTAAAGAAGTACTCACAGATCCTGGTAAGTAATATCCATAATTTTAATATAAGCTTGAGAATCGTTTTTATTTTTAAACCTTTGGTTATGGAATTCTTATTTAACAATCGGTTCGCTAGGAATTTCATTTCTTAACTTTTTGAGACGGAGCCTTTTTGGTGCAAAGAAGATGGGGCCGTTTTCACAAGCTGTGCACTTACTTAGCAAAAGAAAAGCTAACTAATTAATTTACAAAAATGAAACTATATATATTCTTTTAGGGAATTGAATAAACTAATCAAAATCTTTAAGAATGAAACTAAAATCTCAAAATTTATGCAAATGAGATCCTGATTTTCATAATTTAAGCATGCAGTTATTTTTTTCACTTAAATTAAACATGTCTTACTTGAAGAAGTTTGTTGAATACTCTGATTTTTGAAAACTAAATAGTACAGAACGCCTTAAACTATCTATGGAAGCGGCCAATAATATGCAGAGATGAGCTAGAAATCTGATTAGTTGGTACAAAGACTAGCCAGCCAATTTTGAGGCAGACAGATCAAGCCTTTCATCCTTTTTTTTCATAAAACTCTGGACTGATAGATCGGCCCAGCGGTCTCAAGACTGTTACTTAAGTATTATCTTGTTAGTGTAAAAAAACTCATTCTAGTACCGGTAATGGAAAAATGGTTGCTGTTGTTAACCTAATTGTAATTTTCTTTAACTCTATTCCAGAGAAGAGACAAAGGTTCGATCAGGGTGAAGACCCTCTTGACCCAGAAGAACAACATGGACAAGGAAATCCATTTTTCCATCAAGGTTTTAATCCATTCGGATCAGGGGGTTTCACATTTAAATTTAACTTCAATTGATGATAGATACTCTTAGGTGCTATATTATGTACAGTTTTTTGTTCCTTCATTAATCTCAGTAGCGTTCTCTTTGTAAAGTAACTTATCTTGGAGTTTATTTTTATTTTTTCCAGGTTTTCTGAATTATTCAAAGTGCAGTATGTTTTTGTTTATCTATATTCATTTTCTGAAGAAAATAAATTAAGTTTCGCTACTGTTTTTTTTTTTTAAATCTCAATTTTATAATAGTTTAGGAAAAAAAAATTGATACATTTTTTTATATTAGAAGTTTAATTTTGTATAGTCTATTTAACATGCCCTGTTGATTAAGTGAACAGACTCAGATTTTGCATAAATATTTATGTATTAAATTGTACATAAATTTTTATAAGCAACTAATTTAATACCTTTTGAGGTGAAAATTCTGCAACTATTGCATTTTACAACAAAACAAACAAAAAAATATTTTTCTAGATGAGTATTCCAATTAGCCTTTGTGTTAGAAAGAGCTCCCAGTTGTAAGAATTTATTTTTTGTGCACCCATTAACCACTGATGATACTGACATATTCTTCCCATTCAAACTAAATTTCTAATTACAGCTTTTGTGATTTCATTGTAGACACAACACTTTTTATTTTGCACACTTTGTGTTCATAGTTGGTTTCCACAATTAAACAAGTATGGAACAAATAACACTATCATAAAATAATAGAATCTTCTTGTCAGATATAACAGGTCATACGTTGTTAATGTATTATTGTGCAGAAATATATCAAATTTTTCAAAAGAACGAATTGTCTGTTTCGTGGTCAAATACTGGAGAGAGAAAAATTTTATTCATTTTTTTTAAGGTTGCAAAACCTGGGTCTGTATCATTGACATGTTGCCCCTAACTTAACATAATGCTGATTTGAATTTAAGTATGGTGTGAGTGTGGACCGGATGATAACAGGCTGTGGTTACATGCACAAGATGATTGAGAGTTTGCAATGAACTTTTCACTGTGTGAAGAAAAAGAAAGCATTGTGAGAGAGTGTTGGTTGCATGACTGTCCTTTTATTTATTTAGTCAAAGATTGAATTTGTGTTTGCTCTGTAGCCAGTGAGTTTTAAAACAGTTGCTGTAGGAGCTGATTGAATATTTTTTAAAATCATTATGAGTTTTAGAATAATAGCACGCAACTGTACGAGTCTCTGTGCCATGAAATAATCATTGAATCAAGTCATCAAAAGCAGATAGTTTCTTGATTTGATATATGTTAGGCCAGGGTTCATAGCAGATTATTCTGATAGCGTAAAGATTGTAATCCTTAAAATAATGTCTACTTCATCATACTTTCCTGTACTCTGTCGCGATCATTTGACTTACTTAAACTACTTAAAAGAATATGTGAGAGCCTTTGGTTTAATTTCATGATATTGTGATGACTTTTTCAATAGTTCTTTATGAATGAGTTGTGATCAAGTAAATAATTATCTGCTGCAATTTTTTGTGCTCTAAGTTTTGTTAGCTTTCAACCTATCTATACCTGAAATTTCTTAGTTGTATCTAATGTATTTCCCCAACAAGATATGTATAAGTTTTATTTGGGAAAGCAAGATATTTTGTTGTGTAAATCTAAATCTTAATGAAAAGTGAATGTGTTGTTTTAAATCTTATGGTACAAGTCAATATAAACATTTCTACTGGATTATGCAATAAACATGTTGGTCTACAGTTTGTGTTGAAATAATTTTTAATTATTTATAATTGAATCAATTATGGTGCAGATTGCTGTGCTTCTACATCTAATGAAGACTTCCTCAATAGAAGGGCTTCTCACTTGTAAATATCAACAGCAACTGTACATTTCATAAATTACATTAAATTTGGACTGGAGGTTCTCATGTTTATTCATATATTTTTATATTTTAATTAAATATGAGTGTTATCACGAAATACAGGCACCAGCGGTTTAAAAAGTTAAGATTTTTGTAAGGGGCTAATTAATTCTTAAAATTGTACAATTATTGAGCATAATGTCGGTAGTCTAATTAATTAAGGTTCAATTGATTGAGACAACTGGAGCCTGTGGTGGCACTAGGGTTATTGTTTGTTTCCCCCCACCCCCAAAATTAGTCTTAAGTTATCAAAAATGCAGCCCCTCAATATTGTAAGGAAACCTTGCTTACTCTCTGCTAACTTTCATTTATATCTGGCAATCACTAAGGAAACAACTCAGGTGATAACATTTGATGATTAAAGTCTTGCTCTTTATTGAGTTGACACTTCGCTTATACTTTCTCTCATCTCGCAACTCTGACTGCCCTCTTCCTCTACCGTCGCTGTTCTCTACCTCTGTCTGCTCTCTGTCGTTGCCTATCCCTCTCCAATCTAACCGTCCCCTCTTATAGGTCCACCAGCCAACCAAGGCGTCGCTAGAGATTACTCCCCCTACCTTCTTAAGTCTTGATAATTTATCTGCTACGCGCCAAACACCTGGACTGAACTCTGCCGTGGGTTTTGCCCCTCATCCCTGCCCGCTGCATTCCTCGCCTTAATTTATTTGGTCAGTCTTCGACTGTGGGTTTACCCCGCTCCGTTGACATCCATTGTGTTCCACGTCTTAATTTATCTGCTACCCGCCAAACACCTGGACTGAACTCTGCCGTGGGTTTTGCCCCTCACCCTGTCCACCTGGACT